GGCTGAGATGAATATCCCTTTGGGCCACAGGCAGCCATGGGACCTGTGGGGAGGGGGTTGCCTGGGGTGGCCAGGGCATAAACTTGAGGCTGGAGCCATGTCTCTGGTACCACTTGCAGCCTCTCCCCCATGGTCACAGGTTTCTGTGGAACACAAAGACAAAGCCTTGCTTTGTAGCGCACGGCATCCAGGGGGCTTGCAGCCAGAATTGGAAACTGCAGCTTTTCCATTAAGTGTAACCTCTCCCCCTTCAACCGGCCACCAGACTCCTTCAAATCTGGAGAGGTGGGAGGAGCTATAAACCCCTGCCCATTAAATTGCTTATTAGTTGCAGATTTCCAAGCATGTAGGCAAGTATTTTGAGACTGCATCGTCTCATACTGCCCCCTCAACCACAGAGTCTGGGGTACTTAACCACGTTATGCAGAAAAGGGGGCAGGACCCCCATTCCCAATTGCAAGAAGTGACCTTGCAAACGTTTTACTTGCTTTTCCCCAAGTCTTACTCTAAAAAAGAGAAAAAGGCACAAACACAACCCTCCTCAAGCTCAGAATGTCTTCAAGTTGGTGTTTATCTTTTTAAAGGGGTGTTCTGCCCATGACCCAGCTTTAGTCTATCCACACAACGCCCCCGCCCTCAAAGCCTGATCTGAAACAAGCTGAGTCTCTTTAAGTTCCTAAACCCGAGAAGAAAAAGGAGAGGGAGGGAGGGAGGCTGGTTTTCCTGGAACCCTTATTAAATCAACTTTCCAAAGACAGCCAGAAACTCCAGGCCCTCCCCACTCCCTCAGGAGCATTTGCAGACTGGGGGAGGGGTTTTCAACACACACACACACACACACACACACACACACACCTTCACACTCACAGCAAAGCCTTTCTGAAGAGGAAAAGCTCTCAGTGTGAGCAAGGTTTTGCGTAGTTTGCTTTAAACCTTTGCACAAACTTTTTATACACAGATTACACTCTTTTTCTGAGGACAACGGCAGGATTATTATTTAGCAATCAGAGGGCCAAGATTACATAACAATATTTTACATTTATTTGTGAGACACCCTATAGTTTACAAAGCATGAAGATAGACTGTCCCTTGTGACTTCGCAACAGTTCTCCAAAGACGATGGGGCATGTGTCCTGTTATCACAAAGCTCAAGAGGGATAAGTTATGTGAAAGGGCTGCACTAGGAGAGGGACTTATGCAATCAAACAGGGAACTATTCTCCAGGTCCAGTGGACTTCTACTTCTGTGTCCTCAGGCATTCCAAGTCCACCCATGACACAAGCCCCTCATCATGGGCTGTCTCCTGGGGGGAGGAGTCCCAGGAAATGGTACCCACAACTGCCGTTTATTGTTCTAGGAGCTTTGCATACAGTTTCATTTCATATTCACTATGACGTTAGGAGTAGATGTTTATTATCAATATAAGTTATTGAGGTGCAAAGAAGAACTTTCCCTAGAGCCAACAGTCAGGAAGAAGTAGAGCCCAAATCAAAACCAAGGCAGTCCAGAGAAAACTTATGCTCACACAAAGACTTGTACACAAATGTTCACAGGAATTTTAGTAATAAAGCCAAAACTGCTAACAACCTAAAGCAGCGGTCGCCAACCGGTATCTGTGGACCACTGGTGGTCTGTGAGGTCTGAAAGGTTGGCGACCGCTGACCTAAAGGATCATCAACAGGTGAATGAATACACATTCACCATATAATTCCATTATATATGATTCTAGAAGAAGCAAAGGTAAGCTGTAGTGACAGAAAGTGGATCAGGCTCAGCCGGTGTGGTTCAGTGGTTGAGCATTGACCTATGATCCAGGAGGTCAGGGTTCAATTCCCAGTTGGGGCACATGCCGGGGTTTTGGGCTCGATCTCCAGGAGGGGATGTGCAGGAGATAGCTGATCAATGATTCTCTTTCATTATTGATGTTTCTATCTCTCTCTCCCTTCCTCTCTGAAATCAATAAAAATATATTTTAAAAAAGAAAACGAAAAATAAGGAAGTGGATTAGTGGTTGCCAGGGGTCTGTGCTACAAAGGGGCCTGAGGGTAGTTTTGAGGGGGATGAAAATGTTCTATATCTTGATGGGGCTGGTAGCTACGTTTATCAAAACACATCGAACTATACAGTTAAAATGGTCTATTTTACAGAATGTAAATTATACCTCAATCAAGTTGACTTTTTTTTTAAGTGGCCATCTGACTTAACTCTTTACTGCTGCACAGCCTCCGAATGCCCCCTCCACCTCTCCTGTTCCCTCCTTCCTGTTCAGGGGCCTGCACTTTGTCCTCATCAGGACCTTCAGCACTCTGGCTCCATCCTCCATCACTGCCCTGGCTTCCTTTCCCTGCTTGGACCCACAGCCAGAAGCTTCATTACCCCCTCCACCACTTCTACCACCACTCCTAAAATTCCAATGCTTGTACCCTTAGACACCCCCTTTCTGCTTTTATAAGGGCCCAGGCTACCCTCCATTTTGGGGCTGCACAAGAGTTTCTTAGAGAAAGGTGTTTTTTTGTTTAAAAGTACGTTAGGGTCCATCATAAACTCACATTCTGACACCTCATCCAAGCCCTCCTTGCTTTTGGACTCTCTTATCACCATCTTCACTGTGGCAGATCCAAATCGTCTCTACGCCTCACAAACCTCTCCACCTAACTTACTCCTCTCACCTCACCTTGTCTGTGTCTCTAGTTACTGGAGTTGCCATCCAACCTACTTAAACCAACCCATAGATTCTATTTCTATAGTGTTGCCGATATTTTTTCCTTCCTTTACAACCTCAGGGCCCCCAACCTAGTTTATACCCTCACTTCATTTAGCTAAACATTAAAAACAAACTTCTAACTCTCTTTCCGGAGCTCCTAACATTTTACATTTAGGTGCTTTGTCTGGATCAGCTCACTTAATCCTTTATTGTTGTCCCCATGTTAAAGATGAGCGAACTGTCCTGGCTGAGTTGGTTAGCATGTCGTCCAAAACACCAAGCTTGTGGGTTCAATCCCTTGTCAGGGCACATACAAGAATCAATAGATGGCCCTAACCGGTTTGGCTCAGTGGATAGAGTGTCAGCCTGCGGACTGGAAGGTCCCAGGTTCAATTCTGGCCAAGGGCATGTACCTTGGTTGCGGGCACATCCCCGGTGGGGGGTGTACAGGAGGCAGCTGATCGATGTTTCTCTCTCATTGATATTTCTAACTCTCTGTTCCTCTCCTTTCCTCTCTGTGAAAAATCAATAAAATATATTTTTAAAAAAAGAATCAACAGATGAATGCATAAATAAGTGGAACAACAAATCAATGTATCTCTCTAAAAATCAATAAATAAGATTAAAAAAAAAAGATGAGCAAACCAAGGCTTAGTGTGTTTGACTAATTTGTCAAAGCAAGTAATGCAGCTATTAAGTGGTGGAGCAGAATTCAAACAAGTCCATCTTCTTCTTCCCATCCATCCAAATTCAGCTACCAGGTTAGTTTTCTAAAAGTGTAAAACTTTTCAAGATTCCCAGTATCTACCACTTAAGTATAGCAAGGCATTAAGGCCTTCCATATGCTCATAACTCAATCTAATTTTTCTGGGTGTTACTTCCCACGACTACCTACCTACTTACCAGGTAAATCATTCTCTGTACACCTGGTACATCCTGCCTCAGAACCGTCACTCATGCTGTCACACCTGGAATGCCTATCAGCTCCCTCTTCCAAACCCTTTCCCATCCCTCTGGACCCATCTCAAATGTTCTCTGCTTCCCTCGTCCTCTGCATGCCCACTGCATTTTGTTGTAACTCCATTATGTGGTTTAAACATGGTCTACCTTGTATTTAGATAATCTCTGTACTTACTGGTATCTCCCTACTACCAGATGGTGGAGAAGGTCTCTCCTGCTTTGGGTCTTTGTCATGCGCTAGCTCGGGTCTTGTCTTTAGTTCTGTTACTGAATGCAACATTAATCTGCCTGCTCCAGCCAGTGCACACTCTAGAAAGTCTCACGCACCCTTCCCTACTCCTTCCCCATCATTACGCAAGTGGACAAATATTCTCACTCATCATTTATGATTCAAACAGGTCCTGACAGCTGAGACTGACAACCCCTTTAAATGCAGTCACCATGCCATGGGCACACTGAGCCTTTTACCCACCGCCTGCCAACCTTCTCTATTTATGTAATCAGCCACTGAATCACACGCCACACACCCTTTGGCTGCAGAAAAGCTCAAATATTAATTCTTAGAGATCCATGAAAGTCCCCAGGTATGTTGTACCTGTAATCTCCATGAAGTATTTTTATAACTCCAGCAAATCCCATGAGCAGAAGGGCAAGTCCTTCCCATTACTAATATAATAAGCTCTCTGCTCTTCCAACAAGTTATAGATCTCTCCCGGCTCCCAGGCCCCATTATGCTCCCCGGTTCTCAATCTCTTCCAAATCTCTCCAACAGCACATACCCTCAGCCGACCTCCAAACAGGGCCTGTGAGATGTGGTCAAGAAAGGTAAATGGCAAGCCCGTGGCCATAGCTGCCAACCTTCACAGAAGATGTGTCTTTGGGACAATTTTAGAAGCCAGAGGTCTTTATCAAGCTCCCACATCCCTCAACATCCCCTGTAGCCTGATGTAAGTTCTAACCCCAAATTCATAGGTCATTCACTCCCCATTGCATCACCCAACCCCATTTTATTAATGGTCTAAGCTAGAGAGCTGGCTCTTGGATCCCAATCAAGAGTTCTTTTTTCAGAAGAGAAAAGCATAAAACCACCTAGAGCATGTCACCTCTGACAAATGATGTCACCAGCCTTCATGACCCAACTTTTCGTGAGGTTGGTTATGTTTATAATTAGGCCCGAACCAGCCCAGGTATCTTGGGAGTCTTTCCTACAGGAAAAGAGCCCTTTGTTCCACCAGGGATGAGCCTTCCACATCACCTCCAAACACATCACCTCCGTCCCAGCCTGCCCTGTTTCCGAGGGCCAGAAGTCCGGGCTGACCCTCAGCCAGTGCCTTACCTTGTTCAGGCAAGGTCGGGGCTGGCCTGGCAGTGCAGAGTGTGGCTGTGACCAGCACAGCCCAGAAGAGGAGGCACTTCCAGCTCCACATCCCAGTTCTGCAGTTAGAGGTTGGTGACAAGGCTCCACACCTCCATGGAGACTCCGCCCTGAGCTTGAACCTCCTTTTCAAGCTGACTCTGAGAAAAGAAAAAAGAAACAACAACAAATTAGGAGGGTCTGCATTGGTGGGGGGGAGAGCAAGGAGCAAAAGAAGGTAAAGCAGGCACACAGTCACCCTGTCCCGAGGGTGCTTGAAGTAATAACTTACTCCTTTAAGCACAGAGAACTGTGGTTTGCCCCAATGCAGAGTTCAAGGTTAAAGGCCTTACTCAGAGAAAGGAGTGTTTTCATCCAGTTCTACAATTATTTATTGAGTGTGAACTGTGTACAAGCTTTGCTGAGAAAATTGTCGTCATGAAGTTCTCTAAGGCATAAGCACCAAGATCACTTGTGCTGGGAAAGCAAATGACTTTATGAAAATCCCAAACAGGTCTGCCGCCTCATGGGCAATGGCATCTCAGAGTATGCTGGAGCCTTCAGTATGCTGATGACTCTAAGACTTCACTCCCTCCAGGGCAAAACAAAGGGTTTGGTGTGGGTAAAGAGAGACGAAGAGCCTGGCCTGTAGGGGGCGTGCAGGAGGCAGCCAATTGATGTTCAGCTCTCACATCTATGTCTCTCTCTCTCTCTCTCTCTCTCTCTCTCTCTCTGAGAGAGAGAGAGAGAGACAGAGAGAGAGAGACAGAGAGACAGAGAGAATATTAAGGCAAGGACTAGGAAATGGGAGCCAAGTAAGATACTGACCCTCTCTCGACCTATGTGAAGAGGAAGCTGAAAAAAAAAAAAAAGATCTCAAGGTGCTTTTTGTCTTGAGAACTATACGCAACGCAGGGATCTCAGGTTCTATCAGCTTCCCTCAGGGAGAGAACACAACTCTCGCCAACTCCTTAAAAAGAGCCTTAGAGTGCGGAACCGCGAGGTGGGTCCAGTTCTCTCCCCTGATGCTGAAAGGTGACAGCTGGTGTCTGATAGAAATGAATCCAGAAGTGGGAAACAAAGGGTTGTACTGAAGAGTCAAAGGGCTCTTGCTCATGTCAGCCCTGGTTAAAAGCATAGTCTACAGCCCTTTACCTTTCTCAGGTCTGGAGTGGTAAAATTTAAGACAACCCCCCAGGGTCTTAAGGAACAAGGGATTGTTGCTGCTAAACATTTACCGAGTGATAAGACTTTCTGGGCACTGTTTGGGCTATATCGGGGTGACCATCTCCATCTTCCAGGTGGCTTTTGTCCTAAATACTCTAGGGAACCATCCAAGTTATTCAGAGAATCCACTTCCCCGGAACATGCCCTAATGTGGTGCTTCAGCCCTGCCTCCTCTCAGCCAGACGGGGCCCCTGTGAGTGAGTCAGTCTCGGCTGGCAGAAACCCCCCGGATTCTTGGCTTCGTTCACATGTACTTGCCAGTGGGAGTACAAATACACTACCACCACCTCCCTCCGAAGGCTTCCCTAAAATTTCTTAATGATTTCAAATCAAAGGAGTAGTGAACTTTTCTATTTTTCTAAATTTAGGAAAGGGACCAGAAGAGAGAGATCGGAACAAATGTTTACTGAACACCCACTACATGTCAAGCATGTACTAGGTAAAATCTGTAAGTATAAAACTTCAGCCCTAGCCGGTTTTGCTCAGTGGATAGAGCAATGATGGCGAACCTTTTGAGCTCGGCATGTCAGCATTTTGAAAAAAACCCTAACTTAACTCTGGTGCTGTGTCACATATAGAAATTTTTTGATATTTGCAACCATAGTAAAACAAAGACATATTTTTGATATTTATTTATATATTTAAATGCCATTTAACAAAGAAAAATCAACCCAAAAAAATGAGTTCACGTGTCACCTCTGACACATGTGTCATAGGTTCGCCATCACTGGGATAGAGCATCAGCTTGCAGACTGAAGGGTCTCAGGTTCAATTCTATTCAAGGGCACATGCCTGGGTTTCTGGCTCAATCCCCAGTTGGGGGCATGCAGGAGGCAGCCAATTAATGATTCTCTCTCATCATTGATGTTTCTATCTCTCCCTCTCCCTTCCTCTCTGAAATCAATAAGAAAACAAACAAACAAAAAACAACTTCCTTGCTTCTTCACTATAAACTTATGGGGGGTAGGAATTATTATTCCCTTTTAGCCATGGGGAAACTGAGACTCAAAGAGGTTAAGTATTTTGCCCCAGGACGTGCAGCTGGTAAGCAACAGCACCAAAACTTTCATCACCCAGGTTTTCAGATGCTGGAGAACAAGGTGGGGCGGAAGCAAATTAGAGGTTGATCATATCTGGCTCTATCTGATGCAAACTCATTTTCTCCAAAGAGTATCCCTGTGCACGGAGAAACCAAGCAGGTAAGGACAGATTCCAGGTAACTCTGGAAATGAGAGAGCCTTCATTTTCAATTCCATTGGTTGAAAGACCCTTGGAAACAGTTCACAGATGTGCCACTTAGGACATAGGATGGGGCATGATCCCTGGCCTGGGATAGAGGGGACGCTTGCCAGAGGACATCCCTAAACCACTTCCACATCTCATTACCTCCCAAAGATACACCAAAGTGATGCAGGCCTATCACCCAAAAAGGTACACCCAACTAGAACCTAAGTCCCCAGGAACCATCAGTGTAATCAATGGATTTTTAGTATCCAGTGGGAAAGCGTGGTATCATCTTGAGATGATTAAACTTGTTTTCAAACGTAGCAGACAGGCAGTTTTCACCACCACCTGACCACTCTGTCCCCTGAAAAGCCTGCCCACCTCCTCACATGTGTGGGTTGGCTGTAGGCTGTCCTCTTTCAGCTGTGCATTCACTGTACTGCAAACTAATCTGGCAACTTCCCTACAAAAGTCTCTTCTTCTGCTTCCCCTCTCGGCCTCAAATCCCACATCTGTAAAACAAAGGATGTTAAGGAAACTCAGTCTCTGTCTGGCACCAACTCCTGGAATGAGAAGGTACATGGGCACACATCCCATTGCATTAAACAGTGAGGCAAACCATTAATGCACACACTGCCTGGGACCCTAGGTACTGCCACCTTCCCCTTCATCCCACCTTCTGCTCATTCTACTAATTAGTGAATTATTAAAATCCCTTAGAAACAGTCTCCTTCCTTCACTGCTGGACAGATGTGAAGGTGTGCACAGCAGCTTCCTCAGAGACCCTACAGCTGGCTCCACCATCAGTCTCTCCCATATGTCAGGTCTCCTGGGACTGGCTGCCAACTCTGCCTGGGTGCAGAGTTCCTCGCTAGCGAAGGGGGGAAGGGGACACACATACACATACATCTCAGTTTTCCCACTTGTTGGACGGGCTAAACTATTTGTCTTGCCTAAACCACAGGTGGTTATGAGGATCAAATGGGCAGTGCAGGTGAAAGTACCTGCTCTCTCCTCTCTAAGTACTAATTCAATGTAAAATGAAATAGTGGCTGGTGAGAAAGCAGGGGCTAGAATATATGACCTTGCATTTCTCTTGCATTCTAAGAGTAAAGATTCTATGACCATCACATCTCCTTGTCCAAAAAGAATGTAATGAAAACTAGCTTATGAGTTCGAGGCTTTTTCTTTTTATTCTGGAAAAAGTAACTAATTACTGCCCTTCCATTTATGACCCTGCCAGCCTGAGAGAGTCACTGAACCGTTCTGAGCCTCAGTTTCCCACTTGTTGGATGGGGGCTAAAATATTTGCCTTGCCTACATCACAGGTGATGAGGATCAAATGGGCAGCGTGGGTGAAAGTACCTGCTCTCTCTTCTCTGAAGTTCTAAGCAAATGTAAAGAATTCTAAACACTGTGCTTGGAGTCACTCCTAGAATGCACTCTCGGGATATTTTGGTAATTGCAGCAGTAGGACAAACTTCCTACCTTTACACAAAGCTAGTTCTCACTAGCCATCTTCAAGCCCCATACTCTAAAGTTTAAGAGTCTAAACCTAGCTGTCCCATCGGATGGCCACCAGCCACTCACTTGTGGCTACTGAGCAACTGAAACATGGCTAGTGGGAATTGGGGTGTACTAGAAATGAAAAGAAAACTTGGCATAGAAAAAAAGTAAAGTATCTCAATAATTTTACTATTGATTACATGTTTAAATTATAATATTTTGGCTATATTGGGCTAAACTAAGTATAGTATCAAAAGCTAAGCAAATTAATTAATAAAAAATTAATTCTGCCTGTTTCTTTTTACTTAATTTCTAACTTGGCTACTAGAAAATCTAAGATTACAAGTAGCTTATGTTTTATTTCTATGGGACAGTACAGTTCTAGGCAACCTCCATAGCCTGCCCAAGTGTTTCTTTGCCTTTTCCTCCATCTTCCATGAGCCTAGCTTTCACATTCTGAGCCCCATCTCAAAAAGCTACAACTCTTGGGCCTTCTAATGGAGGGTCTCATCCCTCTGAATTTCCAAAAAGCCCATGAGACCGCCAGGTCCTTAAGAGCAGGGTCTGGACCTGACTAGCCTTTGTTAATACCCTTAGCATCTAACATGTACACAGCAGATGCCGACACATTTATTAACTGGATGAATAAATGAATAAAAGAAAGAAAGGCTGATTGAAAAGAGACGGATATAGATACTCTTGCAGAAAAGAGGTTGAGAATGCCAGAGAAAAGCAATAGTCAAGTACTCCTTGTTAGCCAGCCAAGCTCAAAATACACCAACTGGGACGTTTTGTAAACCTCTCAATTCCTCAGACTTGAGGAAGTAACACCACAACATTAATTCCTTTAGACGGGAATAAGACTTACTTCTTAACAGAATGGTTGCTTTTCCCAAAAGTGAGCATTTTCTGCTCACTGTTGAGAGTGGCAGAGCAAATACTCATTAAACATCTGAAAAAAGTTATGCAGCTCAGCTTGCGGAATTTTAGTTGGTCCAAGGGAAACACGAATTTTAAATTTTTGAGTTCCTGTAAAAAAGTATCTAAATGTCCTTGGGGCCCTGGCCGGTTTGTTCAGTGGTGAGGGCGTTAGCCCTTGGACTGAAGGGTCTCAGGTTTGATTCCTCCTCAAGGGCATATACCTCGGTTGCAGGCTCGATTCCTGGCCCTGGTCAGGTTGCGTGTGGGAGGCAACTAATCAATATGCCTCCCTTATATCAATGTTTCTCTCTCTGTGTCTCTCCCCGTCCCTTCCACTCTCTATAAATATCAATGGAAAAAAATATCCTCAGATGAGAATTAACAACAAAGGTCCTTGGGAGTGAGGTATATAAACTAGGAAACCTTGCTATTGAAGACAGGATGGACTAGTGGACCACCACCATATTCTGGGAGTTGTTCACCCAGGGGAGGGCTATTTACTTGGGGACTAAACATAGTTCCTTTAATTGCAAGGGGGAATGGTGGTAAGGAGAGGATTTCTGTTTAAGGTAGATGCAAGCGTAGGGGGTGGGGGCGGGGGTGGGAGGCAAACATCCTAGCCTGAATCTGGCATTTAATCCTCTCTGGAAGCACCAGAATCTTCTCTAAAGCTCTACATCTGGACTCCCACCAGTCCCTGGCGCTTTCAGACCTTTTACAAAGCTCTTGGGAAAACAAATGCAAGACAAATTTCCCAAGAGGAAATTAAACTCGGGTGATGTGAATAAGACCTATGAATCAATTCTCTCTACCGCCCTTTCCTGCATCAGCAACAGGCTCCAACTTTCCAAGGAAGCTCTTAACTAACAGCCATTTTGATGAAAGAGATTAAAAAATGGAGGCAAGAAGAAAGCGTTCAGAGGAACTGGCTGCTAAAACCCCACTGTCACAGGAGCAAACCGCCTATTTTAAGGAGTCTTGTTTCAGGTCAACATCCAAAACAAACAAAAAAAGCAGACAACTCAAAGCAAAAACCCATGGCTTTGCCTTGGACTCCATGGCTGGACTCAGCCTACTCAAGGCTCAGCTCAATCTCCCTGCCCTCGGCAGTCTCCCAGGAAGAAAGCCAGCCCAGGCTTACGGTGCCTGGAGGTACTTACTCTAATCTTCTCCCTCCGGAGGGGTGGAACAATAGCATCTGTGAGGCCCCTTCTCTATTTCTCCCCGTGCCTTTTGCTTCCCTTACCATTCTAAGGGTGCCTAACCTAACATCCTCCGTGGCCAGAGGCAAAGATCGAGAGGCACCCAGGACTGTCTTCTTGAGAACCAATAGAAGAAGTCGTGCCCACTCCGGCCCAAATCCCATTTGTGAAAAAATGCCTCCAAGATGAGCATTTCTATGAGCATGAAAAGAACAGGCAGTGAAAGCACACGTGTCCAGTGGCTCTCCACCCGGATGGCCCCCAATAAAAAGCTGACACTCAGCTATGGCTAAGAAGAGTCAATGCAACAAATAGTTCAAGTCACTGATGCAGTCAGAATGCAACCATCTCAGCTGGAGCCAGGCCCCAGTAGCCTCCTTGTCCCCAACACCCTGTGCTCCTTTGGGGTCAGCAGCCGCCCTGGAACTTCTCCCAACCAAGTGGGGGGTGTGGGGAGATATGTAAACAAGCCATTAGATAAGCAGGCCACCAGGACAGCCTCCTTGGGCAATGGCTCTCCCTCTCCATCTCAGTCACTGAAAGGAAAGGAGATGACCCAGGCTTGGGGGTAATTAACCAGACCCGAGGCATGTCCCATGGGGTCCTACTACTTAGCTTTTCAACAAGCCTCAGAGAGGAAACTGTGCGCCTGGGCCAAGGGGAGAAAATGGCCACTTTCTGCTCAACAGTCTCAAGGCTAAGGTTCTACAATTTAGATGGCATTCCAAAAAAAGCACTGGTCCGGAGGTGCAAAGGGCAGGGCACATCTGCGGAGGAAACAGTCACCTTAATTACCATGTCTAGAGAAAGTGCGATTTCATTACAGCCTCCAAAACTACCGCCCAAAGGAGAAACCAGAGAAGTGTTTTCAATTTGAAAGAGACTGGAAAGGAGAGGGTGAGAGAGACCAACAACTCTCTCCACCCTCCCGCAACTCTGGACCACAAGGTGCTTTCCTACCTCAAAGGACATTACACACACACACACACACACACACACACACCCTTAACAATCCAACCCCCGCTTACAAAACCGTAGCTGTTATTTAAATGGTAAAATGTCCCACTTAAGTTTCCAGGGCTGCAGCCCAAATAACTCCTTTAAAACACACAGGGAGCGCCTCTGGCAGCAGCAGCTACAGCCCCTCCCCAACGCCCCCAGCCACTGCACTGGGGCCTTGCTCCCAGGAGGATGGAAAAGGGACCCGCAGGGACGCCACCCCCGGCAGGGTCAGATGCTCCTGCCGCCCCAGCTGTAACTGAAGGGACAAGAAGCAATACTTCAGTTCCAGAAACTTCCGTCAGGGCCAGTTCAGGAGCGACCCATGACCGAAAGTCCCCCGCCAGCAGATGAACCGTTTGCAAGTGCCACCCCCTAAAACCTTGGCCCCATGTTCTACGATGGATGCCTCTTTTCCGCACACTCTGTAAAGCACCATCAGATCCTAAACAACTTGGGATCCAGGTAACTTCTTCTGCTCCCCAAATTCCAACGCCTCATCTCCAAGTGTTAAGGCATTTTAAAGAGGGAGGTGGAAAGGGCAGTTTTAATTTGGGGGAGGGGGAAAGGGAAGAAGAAGGATGTTAATAACGTGGCTGCGGTGTACCCGTGTGGGGTAAAACCACCAGATGCGGCTGCTACATCTGGAAAATGGGGGTGGGGGGCGTGTTGGGGGAGAAAGACACCGCAGAAAGTTTTAAATGGGCTAATCGCTCCTGGGCCCAGAAAGGAGAAGCAGGCTTCACCCCCTCTCCCAAAGGTCTGGGTGCCTTCACAGGCTATGTGCTAAATGAGCTCCATCTACAGCGTCCATAAATTCCTCCGCAAAGGAGGGTTCTACTAGCCCTTCTTCCCCAACCCCAAACACGACAGGGGAGGGGGTGGTGTGTGTGTGTGGGGGGGCAGGAGGGTCGAGGCCAGAGAAGCAACAAGCATCGTCGCCGAGTGGACCGCACCGGACGAAACCCTCGTCCCCTCCCCCACCTCCTAGAAGCAGATTGGAATAGAACGTCCCCCTCCCCCAGGCCCCAGCGGAGGACTTCACACACCCGCTGGGCGCCCGCCCCTTCCCCACACTCCTGACCCTTTCGGAGCAGGGCTAAGTGGAAGATGAGCCCCTCTGGGAAAGGGAGTTCCTTTCTCGCTCCGAAAAAGCACATTCGGCCATTTGGTGACGACACAGGACTCAAAACCAATTCGGAGAGAAGCTAACTTAGCCCAGCACATCTTTCCTCCTTCTTGCCCCCCCTCCTCACCCCCCACCCCATCCCTAACCCCTGCCCGAGACTTTCCCGAGGTGACCAAGGACTTAGAAATACCCCGGATTTTTAACCTTCCATTCAAAGCTACCTGCGGAATTGGGGTGAGTCCCCGTGAGTGGACTGAGAAGAGAAGTGGAGCGCAAACACACACACACACACACACACACACACACACACACACACACACACACACACCTCGCTGCCCACTCCCACCCTCCTCCCCAGTCCGAGGACGTCGAGGGCCGCCGCCGCCTTCGTCCCGGCCGACCCTCCCCGACTCACCCAGGAGCCGCCGCCGCCTCGCCAGCTCCCAGCGCGAGTTGGCGGAAAAGTTGGGCGGCGGGACGGGCGCGGGCAGGGGGCGCAGAAGGCGACGCGAGCGGAGGGAAGGGAGGGGAGACAAAAGGGGGGCGCCGAGCGCTGGAGAGGGAGCCGGGGTGGAGGGGGCGGGCAGCCCGCGGAGGGAGGCGCCGGCCTCGAGCCGCCGGCGGCAGGGGCAGCGCGCAGCCAGGAGGCTCGGGCGCGGGGGGCGCGGGGGATGCCAAGCCCGCCCCGGATCTGGGGGCGCCGCGATTCCTACCTCACTCGGCGCTGCGGTTCCGCCTCTGGAGAGTCCGCCGTGGCTCGATCGGGCGGGCGGGCGCCCGCGTCCCCCGCTCCGGCCGCCGCCCCCGGGCTCCTGGCGGGGCCGCGACAGCCCCGCGGCCGGTTCTCGACTCCCGGCGGCGCCCGGCGCCCGGTGCCTCCAGTCCGGGCGGGAACAATGGAGCCGAAGCGGGTGCCCCGGAGGCGGGGCTGGGGGAGGGCTCCGTCCGCGCCCGGGGTCTCCAGACCCTGTGGCCCCCTCTCCAGACCCGGCGGCGGCGCCTCACGCTTCGGGCAGCCCGGGCTCCATCTCCGAGAGGGGCCCCGGCGCCGCGGCGTGCCCGGCTGCGGTCCTGGCACCGTGCGCCCCGCGGGGCGCCCCTCGGACCCGAGGAAAGTGCTCAGTCTCCGCGGCTTTCCCGCGGCGGCGCGCGCTCACGGCCGGGCCGGGCGAGGTCGCCGCAATGCGCTAAGCCGAGGTTCGGTCCTGTCCCGGCGTCGCCGCCCAGCGCCGGGCACCAGCCGGGCTTCTCCGCGCGCTGCGGCTGCACCCGAGTCCGGGCTCCCGCTCGCCGCCGTCCCAGTGCCCGCAGGAGCGCTCCGAGCGCTGTGCGCCGGCGAGGCGCGAGGCTGCTCTCTCACTCCCACCCGCGCTGGGCCCACCCCCTCCCCTCCCCTCCCCTCCCCTCCCCTGCAGCTGCCTGCTGGGCTTTGTAGTTCCCGAGCCGCGGCCGGGAGAAGGGGGAGCCGGCGTAGCGGCCCGCGCGGCCACTCCTCTCCTGCAGCCGGGTCAGCCCCGGAGTGCGCGCCGGCCCCTCCTCCCGAGCATCGCCCGGGAGGGCGCCCGAATTTCAGGCACTGGACAGAGTAGCAGTTTGGGGGGTGAGGTCGTACGTGGCAGCGCGGGCTTGGGAGTCTGATTGTGTGCTTGGGGTGGGGGTGGGGGGGGGGAAATATAATTTCCTTGCTCTACATCTCTGTTTCTCATTTGTAAAAGGAGGATAACAGTACTTTCCATGTAGAGTTGAGGATTGAGGGCCTGGCATACAGCGAATAAATGCAAATTTTTTATTCACGCGAAGGTCGACCCTTCCCTCCCATCTCATGTTCCCAGCCACAGTGGCTGGGTTTTGTGTTCCCTGGGAAGCGGGGTCCTGTAAGTTCTCAGCGCCATTCATGGCCTCCAGCCTGCGGCTCATGATTCCGGAGCGGAGAGTGAGTGGGGGAGTTGGGCGGTGTGGGTTTGGAAGTTAATCAGAGCCCACCCAGAACACACGCCAGTGCTCTATGGGACCGAAGGGAAAGTGACTAACACGTCCTTTGCCCCGGATCCTTCCACAGAGTGATGTGTAATCTGCTGGTTCTCTAATGGACATGAGTCCTTTGGGGAACTTCCGAAAAATACAAAATTCTTGGACCTGCTCAGATGGAGGAAGCGGACTGTCCCAGGAAGGAGCAAAGAGTCGGTATCTTTTCTACAGCTCCCGTGGTGCCAGGTTGGGGACGACTGGTAGGGTAAGAGGTATGTCACAGTAGGTATGAAAGACACCTCCATTCTGGTCCCCTGCTTATGAACTCTTTAATTTTGTTTGAGTCATGCATCTGAAAAAAAAAAAATCAAGACTTTATTTACATATTACCCCCAGTTGGTTGGGACTCCTTCACAAGGTTGTCATGAGAATCAAATTAAATAAAATAACAGATGCCAGCGCACCAAAAATGTCCCACAAATAGAAGTCACTATGTAAGTGAATGGTAGGGCCTGTTAGCTCATCCTCACCCGCCTAAACTCATAAGGTTGTGGAATCTCGAATACTGAACAAGGTAACAACTTCCTTCTCCCTACAATTAAGCAGCGTCTCTAAGTTATTTCTCTATTTGACCAGCAGGTGAAAGAATAGTGACCAACACAGCATCGTTCACATAGTAGGAGCTTGAGAAATATTTATTGACTGACCGAAGAGTAAATATTCAATAGATACTTATTGAATAAATGAGTAAGTTTAAAACTAAATAAAAAGCAGGAACACACATATTTGTGGAATAAATGAATGGCTGGAGTTTCTAGAGTTATTCTCCCTCGTAGGCCTGGCCTCTCTTTCCATCCTTCAACCATTCGGCTCTTGATCAGCCTGTTTATATCCTCCCATTTAAGCTGCCCAACCATTAGGCCTCCTTTATTTTAAATAATAAAATAGCTCTTTCGAGGTCTGTAAGAAGGGCAAACTAATGCCCCCCTCTTTTGGAGAGGCCTTCCCTGCCAATCTCAGTCCACCGAACCCCTACTGACCATCTGGTATGTCTCACTGATTTGATACCAAACATAACTTGGTTAGTTGTCTTTTTAACTCTTTCTCCTAAACTGTACTAGGGCAAGGATCCCATCTCTGTATCTGACCTAGCTCAGGACTACTCAGGAGGTGTGTCATATATATTTGTTGTTAGTGAGTTTGATGAGGGCCAGAGGAGTTTAGATGGGTGAGGATGAGCTAACAGGCCCTACCATTCACTTACATAGTGACTTCTATTTGTGGGACATTTTTGGTGCGCTGGCATCTGTTATTTTATTTAATTTGATCCTCATGACAACCTTGTGAAGGAGTCCCAACCAACTGGGGGTAATATGTAAATAAAGTCTTGATTTTTTTTTCCAGATGCATGACTCAAACAAAATTAAACCAGAGGAGAAAATACAAGTTGAGGGAATATGATTGGAAAGATAAGCCATGGAAAATGCAGCATTTAATATTAACACCTAACTACTATTTCCCCACTTTATTACTAAAAGAGAATATATGACTCTTCCTCTCTATGATTCTTTTAAAACCAGGGGTTTTCAAACCAGCTCTTTTTCCTTTTGATTTGCAAGCATCTTAGGAGTATCTTGAACCCAAAAGAGGAGGTTGATGAACATACCCTTGATTTAAACAGAAAGAGAATGATCTAAATGTTTGTCAGTTTGAAGTTAAAGGGCCTAGACCTGATACTGAACAAATTTCCCTATAGATTTAGCAAGAAACTGAAATGAAAGCGAGTGGCCAACTTGATAGCTCTCCCTCCCCCAGTTCTCAGGAAAACAGCCAAAGACAGGAGAATGGAGAAGGTGAGAAACCCAGAGAATGCATGGGCCATCCACAGACCACAGACATGGCTCCTGAATAATTGAGAGCTGCCTGCTTTTATCCTTCTAGCCTCACTCCCCTTGTGTGCTGCCTCTCCCCCTCCTCTTTCTGAAATGCAGACCCTCCACTTGGGGATCAGCCCCAGGCCAGTGGAGGGTCCTGACCAGCTCCAGGCAGAGGGGGTCAAACGATCGCTCTGCCTGCCTCTGTCCTGCTCTGAGGCCTCCTGGCACCTTGCCTCCCCACACAGAAATGTAATCTTCCCTTTGAGATAACAAAGAGCTGGGAGGGTCAGGGAGGATTTGTAGGCCCCTTGCCCTGCCAGCTAGATGTCTGAGGGGGAGACAAAAGCCCTCACGCTGAAGGACCTGATAACCAGTTGGGGGCCTGTTGCCTCCTGGATCTGTGGGAGGAGGGGACCTGTGCTGAATGAAGCAGAAGGAAACCGAGCTCTCCCCAAAGCCCGATCAGTTCTCTTTGTTTGGGAACACTGCAGAAAATCCCTTCCCTCTTCCTCCAGCCTCTGGTGTCCTCAGAGTTCTTCCTCTCTTCGGGCGCTCCTCTGCTCCGTCTGCGTTAAACGATTTCACTGCCGAGCTGTTCCCAGCCCCCTACACTGGGTTGGTACTACACAGTTAACAGCTCCCTGTTACAGAAAAAGTCGGGGGAGGCTAGCAGTCCCTATGCTGGGGCGAGACTGGGCCACAGAGCTGCCCCAGCCAGCTCTGAGAGGCCCTCAGACTGGTGGGAACCAACAGAGGCACAGCTGCTTGAGAGCGGTTGCAGAAGGGATTCAGGAGGAGGGACCTGTCTGGGATTGTCCCTACAAAGTGGATGTTCACAGGTCCCTGGGAGCAGGTGGGCGACCAAGCCTTTTGCCCCAGGCCCCTGGAGTTAGGGAGCAGCAGTCAATTACCATCTGGCTGCCATTTGGTGACCCCTGGCTGTTTTCAGCACAGCTTCAGCGTATCAGGAAAGGGAGGGACTTGATTGGCTTGGTGTTTTTGTAAATAACATTTCACGCTCTCCTACCAACTGGGAGTGGGGAAGGGAGCTGGGAGCTCATAGTAGTGACAACTCTGTTTGTCTGGCCCTAATACAACATTTATTTACTGAACATTGGGAGGGGGGAGCGCACTTCTCGTGTGTCAGGCACTGGGCTAGGCACAGTGAATCCAAAGATGGAAAAAACAAGGTTGCAGTCTTGAGGAGCTCACAGCCTGGTCGGGGAAACCAAGCATTGAAAATCATGCCACATCAAGGGCACCTGCAGAATATTTGGGGGTGGGGGGTGGGGGGAGAGATCAGGAAAGGAGACAAGTCAGGGGAACTGATGCCCGAGTCTTGAAAGATGACAAAGAGCATGCGAGAATCCACAAGCTCATCTGGATCATTGTGGGGTGTTGAAGCTTCTGTGTTCTCTTGTTCTGAAGGGATGGACTCAGTGCCTGGCACATAGTAAATGCTCAATAACTAGTAGCTGCTGTTGCTACAGTTTAGCTCAGGAACTTTTCTTGGCCCAAGACACCTCTCTCGGACCCTATTTTCCAGGTATCTTTGCAGTGTTACTATCTATTCACTGCCACCACCTCTAGGTTCTCCATCCCCCAAGACTTGCTACAGAAAAGGATATATTTTTTCCACTAATCTTCCCCTTCCTTGCTGACCCCCTCAAGATAAGCAGCCAGTTTTGTTAAAGGTCTTACTGTGAATCAAGAAAACAACAACACTACATACGGAAAAACTAACAAGGCTTATAAAACCTCAGCAGGTCTTTGCAACCATGGTTCCTGGTCTAGGTTTCAGACTCCCTTCAGAACGCTCGCTGCAAAGCTAGCCTCTGTCTTCTGCTTTTCTTCAGAGCTCCCCAAACTCTCCCCTCTTTCTGACCCCCACTTCTAACCCTTTCCCAGTAAAAGCCACTCATCCAAAGCACTGTGCTGGGGACTGAAGAGGTGACAGAGGTGGCAGTAGCAGAACAGTGGACAATTTGCATTTCTGAGGACTCCCCAGGAGCAGAGGACCTAGTCCCTTAGGCTTCTGCCCAGCGTTGGGACAAAGATCAAAGTTTCAGGTTAGACTGGGGTACTTGAGGATTCAACTTTGAAGTGGATTCTTTCCAAGGATATGCAGATGACAAGTTGCAGATGACATGTCCTGGGTTGTTAAGAACTTTTGGTGATATGGGAATGGGTGGGGTTGAAGAGGAAGACAATTTAAAAATAGACAGTGTTCTCCCAGATAAATTAAGAAGGGCAGATATGCATTTTAAAAGGCTGGAAGATAAAAGTGTTAGTGAGATTACGG